CTCCCATAATTTTGTGCGGTTTTGTTTTCCATGTTTGGCAGGTACTCTTGGTCGGGAGCGGATCAGGTCAAGAAATTATAAAATTTAAAATAAGGCAATCTCCTCTTTCTGTTTCTTCCTCTTTCCGACGAAAGCATTCGTTCAGTGAGGTTTTTGGTTTCTGGATAGAGTCCGAGATTTCCACCACAAACAATTACGATCTTCTTCTCTCCTCTCCTCTTCAAGCTCATGTTTTATCAAACACTAACTCTGAATTGATTAAGTTCATGCCGAACTTCCTCCAATGTCGAACTTCTTCAGTCACCTCGCTCAATCAATCTTAAATTTCACTATGTGTGTTTACTAATTTGAGATATGGGAGAAGCTTTGGTGTGATTCAAAGACAAATATGAAGTAATCTATGTAAGTTGATTTTCTCGATTTTTTCGGGTGAGAGAGAGGGAGAAACACAAAGATGGAGTTTTTTCCTTTCTAATCTCGAGTAAAACCTTGGATGAGGTTTTAGGAGAGAGTTTCGGGTTGAAATTCTAGGAAGGCAGGAAGGAAGCTCTTCCCCAAATAGACGCCACCATACCCCTTCCTCCGACATTCTCCTCATTCTAGATCTGCGACTAACTTTACACTCTTATTAAATCAATGGTCACGCACCGTCTATCTGCGACTAACTTTACAGTCTTATCTGACCTTTGATCGTTAACTATCTGATGTTGAAATTAAAAATAATAAAAATATAATAATCTATTTATAATTATACACCTCATTCCACCACCACAACCAACTGAATATGGTAAAGGGTTTGTTTGCGCGAGCCAATTCTCCCGGCAGATAGTCATCCCCATGCGATATTCGCATTTGGCATGGTGGTTTGGTTGGTAAGGAGGTGTCATTAGAGGTGTTGGAGAAGTTTCAGATTTGTGATTCTGTGTTCATTGACATGTAGGTGGCATGGTGGCCCTGGTCAGGGATTGCGACGAGGTGGATGGAAACTTTGAAGCTTATGAAGCTGCAGGAGACGAGATTCTTTTACTACCATCGTGGATTAGGGTTCTGAAGTTTTTATCAGAAGCCCCTTTGTGGACGTGAAGAAGGGGAGGAAGTTTCGGTCGGGAGCGAATCCCATGCATAACCTACTAGTCAATAATCATCAGTAACCCAATCAGAATCCGCCACATCAGCACCCCTCTCTCTCCTGGAAAGCCTTTAATCTTTTCTCATTTAATTTTTAACGGACGATTTCTCTCTCTTTTGAAGTTGGAATTTCAATTTTTTGCACAGATAAATCAGATTAATTGTGTTTTTCAAAATGTATCCACTTTGATATACTTTTTAAACAAAAAAGAACCATGGTGGTATGAACGTACCAACATTGTGCACCATAAGATACCACCCCCATACTAGGGTGGTATTGTATGGTATTATTTGGTCTTGTATTTTGTTCACCCAGAAATTTGTAGATCAAATAGATCATGATGAACTCGTTCATTCTGTGTAGAAAATTTCAAAAACGACTTAAAATTGAAGGACATACCATATGGTATGGGGTTGGTAACGAGAGACATGAAATTTTTTTCCACAAAAATATTGAAATGGATATTATTTTGTAGAACATAACGAACTCATTTTATCTGTGCAAAAAAAAAAAAAAAATTGAATTCCGAGTTGTAACGAAGAAGATAAGAGCAAATTAAGAAAGATAAGGAGAATAAAATGTCTTTAATCCTCACCCATAGATCTGAATTTTCTATACCCACTAAAAAAGGAAGGTTCAGACTTGGTTATGCAAAAATGCATAACCAAGGGTTATGACCCTAACTTGAGTTGTCCCCGTCCGCTTGCTATTTTCCAAGCCAGTACATTGATTTTATTATTTTAATTATTAGTTACAAATTATGAATTATATTCAAATAGTTTCTCGATGGACGGAGATGGTGGTGGGGAAGAAATTAAGGTGAGTGGTAGGACTGAGATAGTAGACCAGACTGTTTGAAAAATCATGGTCCAAACCGGAATGCACAATTTGGTCCCCGTAGACCGTTAAGTATGGTCTGGTATGGTCTGGTCTAGTTCAGGTTTTTTTAAATGATGTAATATGATGTTTTGATTTCTTGGTCTGGTCGGGTCTAGACCGCATTTTACCGGACCAAACCATGGAACCAGCAGATTTCTCAATATGTGTTAGCAACCCACTTGACCACTCTCCCAACTCCCAGAACGATACCCAAATCTCATTCTAAATTTTGAAAATCTCGTTTCGTCCTTCATTCACAACCACATTTCACTAGAGAGTAGAGACGATCATGTCTTCATATGACATTATGTAAATGTTTATGACGTTATGGTGCAAGTAGGGGTGTTTTGACTTTGTATCTTTATTATTTACTGAGATTTATGCTGTCAAAATCATCCATGCATGTAGGAGCTTATGTTTTTAAGGAAATAAAATATTTATTTTCTTGGCTATTGGTTCAATTTTTTTGTGTGGTTTACTAATTAAAATGTTTATTTTTCGTTCACTGCGATTTATATGGACCAAACCTTACCAGATCAGACCGCACAGGCATGGTCTGGTCTGGACCGTATAGTCTATGGTCTATACTTTAACCTCTCGGTCTAAATAGTAGACAACATATATGGTCCGGTTTGGATCAGACCACACCGTTTCCCAGTCCTAGTGGGTGGTGATGGGAATATATATGAGGTGTAATAACGAAAATAACTTTATTATTTTTTAATTGATACATCAGACACTTAGCATTTAAATATTATAGTTGACTGTCAATTTGATGGTAAAGTTAATAACCATTAATACAATTAAAATTTCGAATGACAAAGGTGATACAAATTAGTGGTATTTTGGATTGATGGTTCAGAAAACTTGTTATTTGGGGCTACCAAATAAATACCACATAAAAAAATACTTGTTATTTGGTATGTGATATTTGGCCCAAAATAACATGTTTGTGTTATTTGGCAAATATTTGACCCTCACTAAGTATTTGACAAACAACACAGAAGTGGTATTTGGCAAACACTACATCCAATTAACTCACCCTCTTTTTCTCCAACCAAACATATTATTTGGGCCAAATAACAAACAGTCAATCCAAACGACCCCTTACTAATTTCAGTGACCAAACTTACAATTTGGAGTGCTCTCTCAACTCTTCATTTACTTTTATCGTTAGAGACCAACGTCTGGGGGCTAATGTAGGATCCACTCAATGATGAATCTTGAAATGAAACATGTCTCCTAGCAATTTATGAGAGAAAAAAAAATTACTATTCGTCACTCTAAAACTTCTTATTTGTCACCCTAATTTTTATCAAAATAACTTAAATATCCTTTAGTCTTTGTTTTCAAAACATATAAATACTAAAATGAACGCATACTACTATACCAAATAACAAAATGAAGTGTCCAAAAGTTTTTTTTAGAGAAATGAAATGTCCAAAAGTTAAATTATCAAATTACCCAGTATCTCCATTTTTTGCAACTAATTAAGCAAATTAATCGGAGATCCGAATTTGACTTGCAGCTCCAATGTCTGCTACATGGAGCTTCAATCCTCCATCGACTTCCACGGACTTGTGCTCGACTTACTCCATTTCTTCCTTCTGATTCTACTATGCTCTTCTCGTTCCTCTGCTTTCTATATATATGAAAATAGGGGATTATCAGTGGTTTTAGCGCCGACGGCTCTGCTATTTGTTTGTCTTCTTTCTTCTTTTCGGTCCGTAGAATCTTTCGAGTTTTAAACTTGTCTGGCGGAATTAAAAAAAAAAAAAAAAACAGCTGCAGCGGGTAGGCGGGCGACTGGGGAATGACAGCAGGATAGGGCTGGGAAAATAAACCAGATCGTTAGAAAAAACGTGATTCAAATCGTACCGCACAGTTTGGTCCGAACCGTAGACCGTAAAGTATGGTCTGGTCTGGTCCATGGTCTATATTATTTTATGTTTTGATCTCTTGGTCTGGTCTGGTCTAGACCGCGGTTTACCGGACCAAACCGTGAACCCAACTGATTTGTCAATACGTGTTAACAGTCCATTCGACCACTCTCCCAACTCCCACAATGACACCCAAGTCTGAACCTTAGTTTTGTGAATCTCGTCCCTCCTTCATTCACAACCACATTTAACCAGAGAGTAGAGATAATCGTGTCTCCATATGAAATTATGTTAATGTTTATGACATTATGATGCAAGTTGGGATGCTTTTACTTTGTATCTTTGTTATGTACTAAGATTTAGAGTATCAAAATTATTCATGCATGTTAGGATTAATGATTTAAAGCAAATAACAATTATTTTTCCTCGTTATTGGTTCAATTTTTTGTGTGGTTGACTAAACAAATTATTCATTTTTCGTTGAGTGTGGTCTATCTGGACCAGACCAGACCGAACCAGACTGCACAGGCGTGGTCTGGACCGGACCGTATAGTTTGTGGTTCGGTCTGTGGTCTATACTTTAGCATCTCGGTCTGGACCATAGACCGTATATATGGTCTGGTCTGGACCAGAACGCACCGTTTCCCAGCCTACAGCAGGAGACCAAACAGTAGACCTTCTTTCTCCTTCCTCAGCAGCAGGTCGTCGGACGGGTGAACAGCAGGTCGGCAGGGTGGGGGAATGGGAGCAGCGACGGGTTGGGGGAACGATGTTCGGACAATTGGTCCGAGTTAGGGATTACGGATTGAAATTGGGGTGCGGATAGTATAACAACACTTAAAGTGTTGTTATACTAACAACAAGGGTAAATAGGGAAATTACAAAAAATAACTAAATTAAATTAAAAATCTGAACCCCTCTTCCTCTCTGCTCCTTTTCTACTTTCCGTTCCAATTAGGACTCTTCCGTTGCCGACGCATATCCGAACCATCAGCAACCACCGCTCAATCTCCTCTGCCACCACTCAACCTCCTCCATCCAAGCGGTTTCTCCCTCCTTCTGGTTTCGACGCCGACGCCGATGTCGATCCCTCGATTTCAAAGGCATAAGCATCATCGGATCTTCCTTTCTTCGATTCGTTTCCGTCTTCCCTCAGCTTGGCCATTCAGTCTAAAGCTCCAACCCAATACATAATGATGAGTGAGGAACGAGCCAGTGGACGATGAGAAGCCGATGAACATCGTATCCTCCAAAATTTCCGACAGGTCTTTTCTCAGCGACAGCAGGGATCTTGCTGGCTTGGCGGCGCTAATCGGAGCTAGAGTGACATCGATTTGGTTTTCTACTTGATCGTAGTCAATCCAGGCCTGCATCGGTTGACCACTGATGAGAGTCAAATTCCGTAAGTTTCCGCCTGAGTCGTAATACCCCGCCGGAGCTGCTATCAGTGAATCCAGACCGTTGATGTCGACGGCGACGTGATTGTTATTGATATCGCCGAACTCGCTGCTGTAGATTGTGTCGAGCTCCACGGCGAAGACGTGATTGGTGAGATTGCCATTGTTGGACTCGTTGAAAAGGCCGAGGTACTGGCTAGGGAGGGAATCAGGGAGGCCTGTAATTAGTCCTCTTTCGTTCGGTGTTCCAGCTTACCTTCCGTTTATTATTTGTTCTCATGGCCGGAGTTGGGTTTGATTGGCGAGTTGCAAAGATCTCTAGTGAAGAATGGAAAAACATGACGGAGAAGAAGAAAGCTCCTTATGAAGAGGAAGACGTTTCTGCATTGGAATACAGGGGGGAAGGGATGGATGAGATGGAGTTCACGGAGGCGGAGAGCAACATGAACAATTTGGTCCAAGTTTTGACCTAATTATTGTAGAGCTCAGTATATCAATCGCATTTTTTGATGTATTTTAATTTATTATTCTGTTTATGATATGCATTTATGAGTTATCGGTATGCACATCACTAGTCTTTAATAAACACACCAGAAATCTTCTAATGCAGACCACAAACGTGATAAAAAAAACCCACAAAAAAGCGAACCAGAAACCTCTTAATGCATACCACAAATTCTCTAAAACAAACCACAAACCTCACAAAGCAAACCACAACATTTGCAAAAGCACACCAGAAACCTCATAATGCAAACCACAAACACGTTAAAGCAAACCAAAAAAACAAACCAGAAACGTCCTAATGCAGACCAAAAATCTACTAAAACAAACCAGAAACCCCGCAAAGCAAACCACAAAATTTTAAAACACACACTAGAAACCTCATAATGCAAACCACAAACACGATAAAGCAAACCCCAAAAACAAACCAGAAACGTCCTAATGCAGACCAAAAATCTATTAAACCAAACCAGAAACCCCGCAAAGCAAACCACAAAATATTTGAAAGCAAACCAGAAACTTCTCAATGCAAACCACAAACACGATAAAGCAAACCACAAACTTCTTAATGCAAACCACAAACACGATAAAACAAACCACAAAAGGCATACAAAAATTTGAGAAACCAAACCATAAATCTCACAATGCAGACCATACATCCGGTGGTCGTTGACCGTTGACCGGTCAACGTATACCGTTGACCGGTCAACGTATACCGTTGACCGAATTTCGATGACCGTCAGTGAGCAGATTCCGACGCCGATAGGCATATTCCGGCCCCGATGACTAGATTCCGACGCCGATAAGCATATTCCGGCCCCGATGACTAGATTCCGACGCCGGTAAGCATATTCCGACGCCGGTGAGCATATTCCGGCCACAAATAGCATATTCCGGTGACAAAAAGCATATTCCGGTGACCGGCGACCATTTTCCGGCGACCGGTGGCAGAATTCCGGCGACCAAATTTTTGGGCAGAAAATAAAAAAATTTATTTTTTATTTTATTTTTTTTATTTAAATTAATTTTTCATAATGACAATTATACCCCTGCTTTAATTTTACACTAGGTCAACTCATTTAATAAAAAGTCATCACAATCCTAGCTTCCTATTTGTTGGGGACTAGTGTTGTTACAATAACAACACAATGAGTGTTGTTATAGTAACCGGTCCCAATTTTCAAGATATAAGGGTATAAATGTCAATTTAGTACGTTTTAGCTTAGGACGTAATAATTTAAATTTTAGGGTGATGAATAGCTATTCAGAAAAAATATCCTCGTTTTTTATTGGGCTTGAACTTGGGTTAATTTGCTAGTATGGATAGTGGCCCAGGACTAATGGAACCCAAAGCTGAGGCAGTTATCTTCCCGCGTAGTCTTCTTGTGTCTCCCTATTTCTTTTTAACTTTTTATTTATTTATTTTTCTTTCGGAAAACATATCTCGAATTCTCTACTGGACCTCATAGTAATTACCAGTAATTGAGTAGGCTTCTCACCGGGATGGTAATGGCGGCGATTGCAGCTTCTACTCTTGGAGTCCCTCTTCGGACTCCATTTTCTTCTTCTTCTTCGGTACGCCTCCTTCTTTTGCTTTCTAGACATTTGAAAATTATTCTTTCTTCCTGAATGTTTTCTTATCCGTTTACTTCGTTAAAAGACATGGCGCAGATCAATTGTGTCTCAATCTCTTAACGGCTCTCCCGATTCTACACCAAGAGGTCAGCGAATTGCCGAATTGTACTTTGCTTGATTGATTTCATTGCTGGTCAAGTGTTTGATGAAATGAGAGTTGTATTTCTGGTGGTGCAGTTGGCACAACAACAGTGGATCGTGTGGGGAGAAGAGCAGCTTTTATGCTTTCACTTGGGTTGCTCGCTCAATCCAAGTGGAGTGGAGTAGCGACCGCTTCTGAGTTTGCAGACAGTAATCCCCTTCCTTACTCTCTTTCAGTAGTATACACGCAAATGTCAGTTGCTTCCATAGCTTCTTTTTATTTTATTTTATAGAATTGAGAATGATTTGTGTGACAGCACTTGCATTAGACTTGCTTCTTCCTTTGATCTCTGTTAGTTGCCTCATTCACATATTCTCAATCCAGTGCCCGCACTCAGGGGAAAGGATTATGGCAAGACCAAAATGAAGTATCCGGACTACATTGAAACCAATTCTGGACTCCAGTATAAGGTCAAGGATCGAATCCCTTATTTCTCGATGTCAATTCAAGTTCATGTTTTTATCATTTTCCACCAATCTTTGTGTTGATTCAACTACCAAAAACAATGCAGGACCTCCGCGTTGGCAGTGGCTCAACTCCTAAGATCGGAGAGACAGTTGTGGTGAGACCTCCTTGATGAAATTTGGTCCCGTAGTGCTCAACCGTCTACATGAAATCACATGAAATGCTGTTAGAGAAGTTGTAGGTGTTAGAAGGCTCCTAAAAATCTTTCATGTTTCGAGATTGTCCATTTTAGAACCTGTGCTCCATCCATGGCTTTACTCGATTGAGCGCTTTGTATTATATGCTGAAGGTTCAAAGTTCTATGTCTGTGGGCTGTATTTTTCAGATTGATTGGGACGGCTATACGATAGGATACTATGGGCGCATATTTGAAGCTCGAAACAAGACTAAAGGGGGTTCATTTGAGGTATATTCTACAGTGAAATCTCTTTAATATCCCAAAGTATTTGATTCACATGGACTTTCTTTTAACTGGCTACTATATAAGCAGGGAGAGGACAAGGCCTTCTTCAAGTTTGAACTGGGATCTGGACAGGTGAGAAAACCATACCTGTCTTGTTAGCCATGCTATTGGACTGCATTGTAAAAATTGTTTCTTGGTTCTTTTATTTGTTTCCAGGTAATACCAGCTTTTGAGGAAGCCGTTTCAGGCATGGCTCTGGGTGGCATTCGAAGGTCCTACCATCTTCCTTTTTATCAAACATCTAAGCATATATTTGGTGAAATAACTCAGTGATTGAAGTGCTTAGGATAAATTTACGCATATAGTAGTCGTGCTCACTCTCTACTCCACAGTGATGCAGGATAATTGTGCCACCAGAACTAGGGTACCCTGACTATGACTACAACAAGAGTGGTCCGAAACCAACAACCTTTTCGGTAGAGTACTCTTATCGACGAGTTCTGCTTTCACTTCTCGTACGTTAGTGTTTGAGAGAAAAGGAAGTTTATTCGTGTATTTGATAACAGGGTCAGAGAGCCTTGTCCTTTGTGCTGCAGAACCAAGGTCTGATCGACAAAACTCTGTTGTTTGACATTGAACTCATCAAAATCATCCCACCGAGGTGATTCATTGGCAGGCAGAGACCAAGGTGCTTGCTTCACTAGTCTCTTAAGGTTACTGTTTTTGTTTGTGTGTAAATTGTAATGAAAAGGAAGGATCCTTCAAACAAAAAGAAAGCAAAATAGTGGAAGGCAAACAAACTCTTGCCTTAGCGTTCTTTTGCTTGTCTCATTGTAGACACGTTTTGGGGCGGCCTCTTTAGTGGTGGTGCAGGAGATATGCTGGAGTAACGCTCTTGTATGGAAGGGAGGAGCAGGAGCCTCCATTACGCGCGTGTTATTTCAGTGTATGAATTCAGATAGGAGCTGTGGAGATGATGTTGAGCAAACGACTGAAAAGGAAATGGTATAGAGCGAGTCGGGTTGAGGTTGTTTTTTTATCACTTATGTTGATTGTTGTCATAATTCTTTTTACGTAGTTCATCCCATGTTACATGAAACATCTCTAGTTCATCCATTTTGTATGCAAGCACAATGGATTTGGAGTAATCCTCGAAAGATATCAATTATGCAGCAATGTCGGATTAGTTATGAACTCAAAGAATTCTATCATTCACTCAAAATCAAATGGGATTCAGAAATCTCCTGAACATCATTCAAAGTCCAGTTAAGGTCGTCGAAATGGTATGGATTTCCGGGTCTAACAGGTGACCATGGTTAGCAAGAAAATCAGCACATTTATTGGCCTCTCTATAAACATGATAGCAAACTACCTCCCAATTATGACTGGGGAGGTTCCAGAGACGATTGATGGTAACGATGTGATAGTGATCCGGGGGCTCCTTGCTCTGGAGGAGCTGAGTGGCTGATAGAAACCCGGATTACGGGTTCAATCTGTTTTTAGGGATTTGGGTAAATGAGCAAATTACTAAGTCAGTAATCAGCCTTTGTTCACGGGAATGGGGAAAAAGGGGAGGGAAGTTTGGAAAATGATGGTGAAGGAAGATGGAGAGGCTGCGGCAGCAGTAGTTAGAGAGAGAGGTTTCGGCAGTTGAGGAAGAGAGAAGGAGAGATTAGGAAAAACAATTACGATTTAATCTTGTTTAGTGGGTAAATTCCACTTACAAGAATATTTATATAACTGGATAATTCTATAATGCTACCCTGAATTATTAATATCCCAAAAATACACCATAATTAATCCCAAAGAGTCCTAAAGAACAATAAACGACAAACAATCTCAAGTAATCAAATTGTAGAAATGCGGGTTTCTGTCATCCCCGCCTCCATGAGAACAACCTTGTCCTCAAGGTTGACTCCACCTCACGGGTTCCCCTCCTCGGCGTCCGCCGCCTCCTCCTCTGCTTCGTCCTCCCAACAACCTATTATCATCATCAGATTAGTGTCTCCGTGGGGGCGTAAGATCTCTCCAGCCATTCCCACCAGTGCAGAG